CATGTCATTAAGGGGCTCTAACTATCGATCACTAGGATCTCGCAGGCATCAGTCAGGTAGCCGACACCTACCAACATGGTTCGGTACACTTTTCAGTGACTTGATGGATTTCTGTCATGTTTTGGTTTGGCCGCCCCTAACTTTCTTCCAACCTACTCCTACACCACAAAACATAGCTCGTCGATACAGTCGGTGGTTGGGAATTCGTAAAACATGTCCCACCCGCCTCAACTAATGAAGTTTCAATACATTATCTATTGATCTGCCATCCTTACCTAGTACTCGTTTCCTAACGACAGCATTGCTCACTCGGTTTTCCCACGATATACGAGCAATACTTCTGAGACACGTATGACCGAATAGTAATAACCTCTGAAGTCCTCTACTCTTACAGACCATATTTCACAGCCATATAGTAGGACGGAGTGAACTGCTGCGCAATATTATTATTACTACTCACAAGTACCCTTTATTCTTGTGTACATTGAAATGACAAACAGATTTTTCAAGTTAAATAAACTATAAAATTAAATTTCAATTCAAAAAATAATGTCATTGTTGTTTTTTATTTTTTCATTCATTTAACTGTGAGCAAGAATTCAAATTTATTCTTATATTGATCATTTCTAACTAAATTTTTCGATTAATTTTAGTTCACATGCGTAGGTGATTAAATATTCAGTTAATGTTATCAAACAACGGGATAAATCCAAACTTTATTGATATTCATGTAAATATTATAGCTGTTGGAAGTTAGTGTCTATAATGGCCTCACTAGCTCAGTGGATAACGCGTTATACCTTCACTAGTGAGATGAAGATGCGTCTAAGTTATGAGTACCGAATAAGATAAAACACCCGTTTTCATTTATTTTATGATATGCTCGTCAATTGATATGGTTGAACTATTATGAGTTCATCTTACTCGGTAAACGGGGAGCGCAGATCAATGACTCAGTGACACGATAGGCCATTCTAATCCGTCCGCCTCCGGCCCGGCTAACTATATCAAGAAGTCTTGATAAGGCGTAGAAAGTGTATTCTACAAGCACCCAGAAAATACGAGGTCGACAAGCACACAAATCAAGCTTATTTATACATAATAGAAACGTCCTTGGGAGAGTCACAAAAATATCGTACTAAAATAAATACATCAACCAATGACAGTCAAGGATTTTCCGAGTGGGAAATGTAAGCTGAAAGTCAACTAAGCAACGTGTGCTCGAACACATAAAATATCCATAATTAGGACCTTTTTCAAGCGAGTTCTGGGGATCTGACGTCCCCAACATTTTACCTTTGCTATTTTTCATCTTTTTTTACAACTCAACCATGTATGTATAATTCACTTTTTTTATACTTAACAATTAATAATTAGATAGTTTACTTCGCAGAAATACAATAAAATATTTATTAGTCACAACATGGACATGTAATGATTCTCAATTGTGTGATCGCTTGATGTTTGTTAATTTGACAACATTTCCTTACACATAGGCTTTTGTAGAATGTATATAGAATGTTTAGGCTAAAAATAATCAAATTGCAAAAGGCTTATAACACAAATTCATTTCTATATGGTTTTTCAATTTAGACAAATATGAATCATACACATATTTATCGTATTCATATTTAAATACAGAATAGAAATTAAAAATTGAGTGCATTTGCAGACGTTTTGACTAAACTCGATATTTCGAATGATTTTGATTTGAGTGTCAAACCAATTTGAGAGTTTGTTGGTTGGTATACGAATATTCTGCTGTACATAGATGCTATCTAACATGGTAGATTCATTGTATACAAGATATAATATGTTAGATTTTATATTAAGGTTGTATGAATACTTGATTTAATTTCGTCATAGACCTGCTGCTAGATATAACCTTATCCTCATCTTGATGTTCAGAAGTGGACCTTCTACCAGGAGACTCACTGATGGAATTAGAAGATGCCGATGAAATAGTTCTATTTGGTGAAGACGCTGACAAAATGCAGAGTCTTCTGAACACTTTAAGCAACAATGCAAGCATGTTCGTGATGCGATTCTCCCCGTCGACTTGCAAATTGTTGCTTCAGGATTGGCTTGTGTCGGCACTTGAACTAATTATAGGGAGTGAAGTAGTTCAGTATGTTGACCGCTTCACTTATCTGGGGAGTCGCATCGATGCTGATGGTCTGGTGTGTGTGTGACGAAATCTTAGCACGGATATAGAAGGCTCGATTGGCTTTTGTCAACTTGCGTCACTTATGGCGTATGCGAGATATCCATCTGCTAACCAAAGGACGAGTCAACTGCACATTAGTTTGCTCCGTCCTAGTTTACGGCTGTAAAACATGGCCAGTCAGAGTAGAAGATATTCGTAGGTTACTGGTTTTCGATTATAGGTGTCTCCGACGCATTGCTCGTATATCCTGAGAAAACCGAGTGAGCGATGCTTTCGTTAGGAAACGGGTCCTAGGTAACGGTGACAAATCAATCGATGAAGTACTAAGCCTTTATCAGTTGATGTGGTTGGGACATGTATTGCGTATGCCTAACTACCGACTGCCTCGTCAAGCTATGCTTTGCGATGTAGGAATAGGTTGTAAGAAAGCTAGGAGAGGCCAAAACCAAAAATGGCATAAATCTATGAAGTCACTGACAAGTGGACTAAGCCATGTTAGTAAGTGTCGACTACCTGGTTTGGGCCTGCGAGATGATAGCAATCGATGGTTAGAGACCCTTCATGACATGGCACAAAACCGTTTGCATTGGCGCAGGTGCATTCATTCATTATCTCCTCTTACATCCTAACCCTTCGAATTCCTCATTACATTTGTCTTTTTATTTTCAAGTTTATTTCACTAGATTCTACTTCTTGAATAATATCTTCGAACCCTAATCTTTCTGAATACTGCTAATAATTTTACTACCACTATTACTATTGTATTTGAATTGACAATTACATCTCTATGCTAATGTGGTTTGGTAAGTTGAACTGACTGTTGACTGACTGACACTTGATGATGATAATAACAACAAATTGTCAGTTTTTTTTTATATAAATAAATTGTTACACGTAATAATATTTACTATAGCATGTATCGACAATCTTAAAATCATACCATGTTCATTGAATCAGATTTTGTTGATTTCGTCATCAGTTATTGTGTGTAAATAATCTGAATTTTTCTCATTGTTATACTGACAGATCACTAAAAGTCTACAAGCCTTGTTATCTTTTAAAAATTATCATTTCTGTGAAATTTTAATTTTCTTTATTAAACAATCATTTTAGACGATCAACAACCAATCGAAAAATCAAATGTTAGAGATTATATCTCACCGCCTTCCAGTGGTAAAGTAAATCAATCTTTGATTGATTTAACTCTGGTTTCTGAAGATCAATTAGCATTGTCTTCTTTTACTGCTATTAATGCTTCACTTCCACCTACAACTGGTTGTTCTCTTGATACGTCGAAAACTGAACCAGTATTTGAAATGAATCTTCCGTAAGTTATATTTTAGAGTATTTTTCTAGTCATCCTTTTATTCAGATTATATGTTGAGCTTTTTAACATAGATGAAATAAGCAATTCGGATAAATTGGTCAACAACAGTATATTACCCCTATAATGCTATCTCTGTTAGCCTGTTTAAGTATTAGTAATCTGTATTAATTAGGTCTCTATTCTCTATCTGTAATAATTATTTGTATTCTAAACCATTTATATCATATGGTCAAACGAGATCTGAGCAATGCCAAACATATAAGGTCTTGTAAAGTTTCGTTAATTTCTCTCTCTAAGTTGAATCCGATTAGTTATGAACATTAAATTCAAATTTTACAAACAATTGACGTGATATTTAATTAGGTAGAATCTTTAATTTCCTATTTAGTAGTAGCCTAATGCATCTTAGCTCCAACAACATCATATTTATCATATTTTCCTCTTCAATATACATGGCTTTCTGTCTTGCATTTTTTTAGCATTTGGTTGGTTTAACTTATTTCCAGTTTCATTTTATGCTTTTCAGTTTATTTGTTTTTTGCCTATACCAGACATGTTTTAAGTTGTTTTAATAGACATGTTTTCATTCGTTTATTTGCTGTCACCCTTTGAGTGTAACGTAGACAACTAATTAGAAGTAGTGAGTTTACTCTATCCTGGCCTCTCCTTTTTAGTGTTTCTCCAGTGCTGTTCATTCTTTTAATGTCTGCCTCTGATTCTCGGCTTAATGTGTTATTTAGCCTTCCTCTTTTCTTTTTGCCTTGGAGATTCCAAGATGATCCTGGCTTTTTGATACGGTTCGATGGTTTCCCTAAGGTTGAGACCTGTCCACCTCTTATTGTCTTTTCCTAATTTCTTTTTCAGCTAGAAGCTAGTTTGTTCTTTGTTACATTTGGTTGTTACTGATGGTGTTTATCCAGCATTTCTGAAGTATCGTACTTAAACAACTGTTTATAATTACTTGTACCGTTTTGTTGACAGTTGAAGTGTTTCTCCAAGTTTCAACAGAACTTTCTTGACATCTGTACTGAAAATTCTAACTTCAGTGTTGGTTGACAGTTGTTTTTGAGTTTCAGGTGTTTATTCCCTTGCTCTTTTCTCTCAACTGCATTGACTTGTTGGAAACTGCTACTGTTCTCTACTGTCGACGTATTATATTCCAAACTCACTAAACTTGACATTCGTCAGCCACTTGCTTTAAGGAAATTCTAGGGCAATGCTCAAGAGCGTTCGGATATCAGAATCCTTGAGTGAATGCAGGCTACAGATAAATGCAGGGCACTTAAACTGGTCTTCTATCATAGAAGACAAGTTGAACCCCTCTCATTCTTGGTTCATGATTCCTGCATATTTCACTCTGTCATTTCCTGTTTCTTTCTTTATATTCATGAATTAGTAGCAGATATACAAAAGAGCTGACTATTCTCCGAAATTTGATATAGGGTTTTAATAGTTCCATCAAAACTACAGTCCCATTTGTTCTTCGGAAGAATAAAGGTACTTTAATGTTCATGTCTTGCTGCTCTACGTCTTCTCAAAAGTATTCTGACTTTTGGAGTGTCCTTTAGTATTTAGAGATCAATTTTGAACAGATCCTCATACGTCTTGAACTATGAATCAAAAGCAACTCCAGCTAGGCCATCAAAGTGAAAATCAAGAATAACAATAATTACTAAGTCGGTATAAGTAACTTGTAGTTGACTAGGTGTGCGGTTTTGCAAGGACAGACACATCTGCAGAAGGGCTTCTATTATTCTTATTTTAGAATGTTCAAACTGTTTATTCTGATGCCCCTCTGGGCTTCTAGTAGTTCAAAAGTAATATTCATAGTAGTTTCTCTTCTTAGTGAACTCTCGATCCTATTTCCTAGCCGCTTCTAATAACCGCAGGTTAAATCTATACGGTCTCTTGAACATACAAAAAAAGGCACGAAGTGCAAAAAAAGCTGCTATGCTTGCGCTAATTAATATACGACTAGATATTGGCAAACGGAACGTAAACCAATGATACAATAACAGGACAGCTAAGCTATTTTTGCGAACCAGCCCAGCTAACTAGAGCAAGAAGTCCGAAGTCAGCAGAAAGATTATATAATCGACAAGTAGTCTAGTGAGAACGAATTAATAAGCATTTATCTCAAGCGTAGTACAAAATGTGTCATTGGAAGGGTTACAAAACAGTGCACCAAAAAAAGTAAACTAACCGATGAGGTTCAAAGTCCTTTCAGGTGGGAAACAAACTGAAGGTAATAAGGGGCGCTTTTGGCGCTCAAATAACAAATTCAAAATTTCTTGAATAAACTGTAAAATCAAGAGGTTTACCTGCGATCTATAGGGATAAAGTATCATCAAAACTTTCGCTTTTTAATATCATTTATCCCTGAGGTTCATCTGCATCTTGATTGTTTTACTTTATATTTCACTGATTAAAACTATCCGTGTAATATTGATATATTTGTAATTTTTTAAAAAGTTATTTTGGTTGTACGGTGACTTTATTCTAAGTAATTTCTAAGTTATAAGCGGTAAGCATAACATCTATGGATTATATCTTCGTCCAGTGGTAGAATTCTCCTGTATCGAATATTACTTTACAGTTCTTGTTCGTTATAATGTATATCATTTTGAAGTATTTTCATTTCACCCAGAATGATAATATCCTAGATGACATTATGTGTTATTTTTGTTGGAGAAGTCATGGAATAATCTGATTTTACACTGAAGTTCAATGAATGCCATTATCATATTCATAAGTCCTAATATATATTTCAACCACTACACTGCACCATTTACACAATGACTGAATGATTTCCATCATGTTAAAAGCTAGACTGATATCATTGATGGCACCATATGATTGTTGTACAATATCACAAATTGACTGAAGTTTTAGATATGAACTACCAGATTATTTTTGATTGATTCAAAAATATTATTCTGAGTATGACACCAACCGACGTAAGGATTACATGTTCAACCATGTGTCAGATCACGAATTCATAACAATGAGGACTTTCAAACAAGTATAAAACAATTATTCCATGGTGATTGGTTTTCCCAGCTTATGTCAGTTTCGTGATGAAAATGAACTTGACAGTGAGCAGTTTCCAAACACACACATATAGACACGTGATGTGTTAATAGACCCATCAAGTGTTTGTGTGTGTGGGAAGTGAGTGACTGTGAAAACCAATAAAAAAAAGTTTGATCTCGTAATATCTATCATCATTAGGTCCGCTTTACAGAAGTACTACTCACTTCTATATATTTAAAAAAGTTGACAATAATTCTGTGAGTGTAATTCAGGACTAGTTTATTTAGTGTTATGTTGCTATTTTATATTACAAACGTTCAATTAATAAGCTAATAAGAAACATCAATCAGTCAATCAACAGCAACGTAGAACTTCGTACGTACATACATCAGTTCAAGTTGCCATACCACACAGGCATCGACTTGTCAGTTCAAACCCCATAATAGTAGAGGTAGTGGGAGTATTAGCAGTAATCGGAGAGATAAGGGTGGAATAAACTTAAAAAGAAGAATATAAAGGTGATGAGGAATTCAGAAGGGTACGATTTGAGAAAACATACAAAATGAATGCACCTGCGCCATTGCAAACGGTTCTGCGCCTTGTTGTTTAGGGTCTCTAACCATCGATTACTATAAGAAGCATATGTTACTTGTAGGTTCATTGTCAGAAGTGTACTGAATATAGTTGAAAGTTTAGCTATTGATAATAATAATATCGATTAATTTTAAAAGAGCAGAGCTTATTTATAGTCACGTTTTTTATAAATACCATTCAGGCACTTAGATTTTTAGTGAGTATAACTCCAAAACTAATCATACTTTCAAATGACCTACACAAATAATGTTTATTCTATAAATATTTTTGAACTAACTGATTATCTCTCCAACTTTAAATTATTTTCTGAACTTTAGAATCGACCCAACAACATCAATCATTGCACATCCTGATGATGTAAATTGTCAGTTGAAATCAGGAATATCAAACCCTAATGTTTCCATTCTTATTCAAAAATCAGATAGTCATCATGTTAAGAAAATCAGTGCCATGGCATGTACATCGATGTCATCATCTAAATCACATGGACGTAATGAGTCGTCAACTTCGTTTAATCAAAATCGTCATCAACAGGCTCATGCAAATCGCCAACGCGTAAAAGAATTTGATCGAGTAGGTATCTTTTTTAACAACGTTTTGACTGATAAGCGAGAATTTCTATAGGTTATTGTTGGGGAGGTTAGAACCCCAGAACTCGCTTGATAAATGCCTTATCTTGGATTTCACGTTCGCGATCATGAGCTGATCAGTTGACCTTGAGATTTCATTTCCCACCAGGGAAGTCCATGGCTGTGATCGGCTGCTGTGTATTTTAGTGTGCCATTTTCGTAACTGTCCCTAAAACGTCTCTATGATGTATAAATAAACGAGAGTTGTCTGCTTGATTGTTTGTGATTGCTGGGTGTTTGTAGAATATACTTTCTACGCTTACCAAGCCCTCTGTTTACAGCTCGGGATTCCAGGTAGCCTATCTGGACGCTGGTAGTTGTCTCGTTCTCGTTTATCGACTAAGGTGAACTAGTAATACCTTCAAGCATACCTAGTGAAAAACATAACAGTTATATTATATAAATTTTGTGTTTCTAAAGTTAGTTGTAACTGCAGTAGAATAACTTATTAATAGCGATCCTTATCAAATAGACTTTGAACCTATGAGGTAAACTATTTCATGATTATATATTTGCTTTCTAGTGATAGGACTTTAGTTAACGTTTAAGATATTATCGATTTGTTGTATTTTTAAGTTGTTATGTTCAATTCTTCTTCTTAAAATGAACTTCTTTTTTTCATTTCATTGTTCAATTTTTTTCCCCTATTGTTTAGATTCATCGTGAACGTTTAATGAAACAAAAAAATTTGAATCGAACAGCGGTTTAATAATAATATGATTACTTTTTGATACTTCAATGACAGATATAATTAATATTACACTTTATTCAAGATTCATTTGAAAAGTTTTTTTCGCATCAACATTTTTTGACGTTTTCCTTTTTTTTCCTATTCAAAATAAAGTCTTTCTGTTTTATTATGAATTGATGTGAATGATTGTATATTTGGGGTCAGGAATGTAATACATTCAAATCATGTTTATTTTCGGTCAGGGTTTTGGAGGCTACACATTAACACCGTTGGATGCGAGACCAGTGGTCCGATGGTTAGGCGTTCGCGCACAATACCGAAGGTCCCGGGTTCGAATCCTGTGAGGTGCAGGAGTCGTGGGTGCGCACTTCTGATGAGTCCCATACCAGGACGAAACGGCCGTCTTTCAGTACTTCCAGGTTTCTAATGGTGGTGTAACAATGATTGATTGATGATTTCAAATGTGTAATATTATTGATGTAGATATCCTAATATTATTATTGATCAAGTTGGTTCAGAAATATCATTGATACATATCAGTTTGTAGATTAAATTGAGATAAAATATTTTAGATGATAACAATTAGTTCAGTTATATGATTTATAAATCTCTCTATGAGTAAACCCAGCTATTCCTATTGCTTAGTATTCTCTGACAACAATACACTCGACAAGTCACCAAATCAGAAAACGGATGAACAGGAATAGATTAGATTCAAAATAGCAAGGTTAAATGGAAGTAAGAAGCTGAAGAGAAGGTGAAATAGCAACAACATTATTATATTTATAATTTTTACGTGAGAAGCTTCTGGAATCGAATGCGCTTGATCAACTAGAGCTGGTCGATTAGATTTAGTCAATCAGCGTGCAGCTAACGCAGTCATGTTTTTTTCCATCTATTTCCCACTAACACCTCCCCTTTGAGTAGATTCGTTGGGTCTGGCGCTAGGGTCCAACTGCAACTGAGTGACTGACCTGTGCTTTCGATATGTCCATCTTCTCGGCAGTAGGGAATTTGTGTCACTCTCTGATGGCACAGAAACTGGCCTGTCTGTTTCATATGCACAACAGATCCATGTGTAACTTGAATATTTCAGTTTGAGTAAACGATTTAAGCATCGCTTCACTGTGACAAAAAGAATGGAGTAGGTTGTTGACACTAGAGCTATGTGTAAATAGATTTGGATGTTCAGAGAAATTGTAAGTCCATGCCAGTTTCTTTCCAATCAATGATTGAAGAAAGTCTACATTACGATGCTGTATGATACCTACTGATCTTCTATTGTCATTCTATCTGAGAGCCTTAATTACCAGTCAAGCAACTTTCAGTATAAGTGTATGTATCGTATCAAATATACTAAAAGTATTAGCGATAATAGAAAGGATTCGGGTACCAATGTATAATTCACGGAGTATAATCTGGTGAAGCAAATTAAAAAAAAAACGAAAGAAACGGTGAAGAGGAATTCAGAAAATAAGAATTCGAGAGAAGACAAAGAATGCATGCTCTTTTACTCATGCAATGTATATTTAATAGGTATTTACGGTGACATAATGTAAAAATGTAACAGTAGAGCAGTTATATGAAAATGATCTCCATGTATGCACAATAACTTATTTAGCTGGATTCTTGTAAACAATTGCATTTCACCAACTTATCGTTGAATTCTTCATTTTCGGAAGCAGTCTTCACGACATATGGCTCCTCAGATGTATATATCGGATACCTGCAACCGAGAGCCCGCGCTTCATTCCGTCCTACGTTTAATTTCAAGGAATGATTTTTTGAAATAAGCCTCAAACCTGTTGAATCGATCACAGCATTCCCTAACTATCTGTGTTAAAACTTTGATACCACAAGCATACATGTATGTGTTGAAACGCATTACTCGATCAAATTATTATGCAATGTGGTTTCTACAGCTGACGCATCGACAGGTAAAATGAATTATTGTATGGACGATCTGAAGTGTATTAATTAGATAAATAGACACATGACTGGCAACCACCTAGACTCCCACGAAAATATTGACACTTGAAGACTTTAATACAGACACCAAACATTTCTATAGCTTTCAGTTTGTTGTGAATTGATGCTTTCTTATGTCCGCTGAAAATTTCATAAACAGAATATGCATGTCAAGGATATTTTCTGTATTTTTGGATGACAGGAGTGTCAACGATGTTCACTTCTTTTTCATTGATATAGCATTTTTAATAAGCACTTCAAATCCATGCCTGCCATAAAGTCTTCTACTGTGACAGTGTTTTATTTAGTCACAACTTACCACAATAACGCGTTCAGTCTATTCGTCCTCTGCATCTGCGAGATACTGAAATTTTCGCATTTCCCTGAATGAACACAAGCGTGTAATCAGCAACCACTTCTGGGATTAACTTGATGTTTTGCATCACAGTACATAACCTATCTGCATCTTGAAAAGCAGGTTTCTTATAGGGATTCACATGTTGCTCAGAAAATGTGAAAACCATGTGCACAGCTATAGATAAATAAACACGTTACTACTGACCAAAGACGGAACACTATACTTCAATCTCACCCCATTTTTCTAAAACCAGGTTTGCGTATGCGAATGAGAGAAAGATAGTAGGACTTGAACTCTCCTGCCTCACCAATAAATATTAGTGCCGCGACAGATAAGCGACGTTTCCTGTCGCTCCTGTAGAGGTTTATGAGTCCCCGAAATAAATAGTACCGTAAGTTTTCCAAATTGATGCCGACCTCATTTGTTTCACGGGAAAGAACCTGGCTTTGGGCACTCCCTCTTTCATCCTCATGAGGTCATCGTGGAATATGCCATGTAACGCATCTCTCACCATAAAGCAGGCTCAGTTCACTCACTCTTGGACATGCCAACTACACCTTCGTTCCTCTTAATTTCTGACTCCTGCTTTGACTTGGCTTTGGGTGTTAGGGACAAAATTGTTGTCCAACTCCAGATATTCTTGGCATCCTCATTGGTACGCCCGACATGATTTGGTGCACCCGACGAGATAGTATGAGTCTGTTCCTTGTCTTAACGTTACGTACTTGTTTATTTACACATCTGATGTTGTTTTTGCTTTCAATCTCTTTTCTTGAGTGTTTACATATGTTCAATTGTTACTGTATTGGTATATATACTTAGTGGCTTAAGGCTGGGATGCTAGCGTCCCTAGAACTATCATTCTTGCTGACAAATTCTAGCCTCGGTTCTGATATACAGAGGCTGACTTCCAAGAGTGCGCTGTGACAGATCCTCGCTTAACTAAAGGCACTACATGTAGGTTACACTTATTATGTTAACTAGTGATGTGCCCGAAAATTATGACACCTTATAACGAAATTCCTAAGTGTGGAAATTGAACTGAGTGACAGAGTTTAAACAAACTTTACCACAA